ACCATGATGTGTGTGTTGAATTCATAAAAGTGGATTTTTTTTTAAAAATAAAGTCTTTCGTTCTAAAACAATACATTAAAAGCATTTGGTTCTTTTAATACACTAAAGTCCAATTAAAGATATCTGCTTACAGAAAAATCAGTTAATTCTGGAGATTATCTTTGATCTATGACACTTAACTATTTTGTTTTCATTTATCTCACCACTGAATTGAAATTTTGGAATTTTGAAAAGTCTGAAATCAGAATTCAATAGACACTCTTTTCAATTAACAGTTTAAAGTTCGTTAAGTAACACTAGCGAAGGCTGTGCCAACTCTGATGGGCTGAGGGAATTCTTTGAAGCTTAATTTACTTTCCTTACAATGGAAACCCCCTTTTAAATATCAGCTGTGTTTATTGAGTCATTCTATTTCCTAATTTTTGCCAAAATGTATTTTTCCTTTGAAATGCAAGAATCATCATGTTTCCAGCTTAGATGTTATACAAACTCAAGTTTATAATTAAAAAGATATGAAGATTAAATGAATAAAGTTACTTTATCTTGCTTGACCTATCTATTTAATCTGAACTACATTTAATTTAGAGAAATGATATGAAAAAATACACAATACATAAAACATTCTCTTTGAACAATAACTTGTAAAGATGATACAAACACTGCCCTGCCAGCAGTGAAAATTTTTGATATTTTTGCCCCCATCTACTCAACAGTGATTAGACTATTAAATAATCTATTACTCAATAATCCACATTAGGGTCTAGCTATGTGGTCCAGCCTGGTCTTGAAGTTGTGGGCTTGGGCATTCTTCCAGCCTCCGCCTTTGGAGTGAGTGGGACACTTTAAAATCTAGCTCTATAGAAGAGACCAAGGTGGCTGAATAGGACCTAGACTTAGACCAAATAACACAGAATAAAATTTCTTTCCTGGGAGCCTGCTAATTTCACTAGAGATCAAATACCACATTACACTAGAATATGGGCTTAAAAAAAACTCCAATAAATGACAATCACAAATCTAAGACCAAAGAAAGAGTGAGTTTACTGACAATCAAGAATTAAGATGTCTTGCTGACACCTCAGTTTCAGAAACCACACACTTTCTCAAATGACAGCTACCCATTCGAGTTACTATTTAGGAAACATAGCAAAGTAAAGAGACTGAGCCAGTGGCAGAGAAGTAGCTCTAAGCACAGCCTCTCCGAGACCCTGGACAAAGAGATTACTTGGCCTCTCAAACCCATGCCCTCCTTAGGGACTGTGGTCTGAATGGTGAGCATGACGCACTGAGTGTGCTGCAGGCCTCCCAGACAGTGCCTTTGTGTCTCAGATTCACTGTTAGTTCACTGAATTAAGCTCTTGGAAGACTTAAATGATTTTATTCAGTATGATTCATGGATAACTGCTATAGACTTGTTATGAGCAATATAAACATGAATTGGTGTCACTTGGTATTTCCTCATCTCATTTTCCAGCTTCCGTCTGTGACTCTCTGGGTCTCTGCAGTGTCTACTGTTATGTCCCCTTTCCATTTCTAACTCTGTCTATGTGGATCTTCGCGTTCATCTTTTAGTCAAGTTGGCTAAAGGTGTATCTTAATAACTTTCTCAAACAACCAACTCTGTCCCATTGATTATTGACACTGTTGTTGTTTTGTTGTCGTGTCTATTTTACTGATCTCATCCCTGAGTCTCATTATCTCTTGTCATCTACTCCTTTTGGGCATGAGTTCTTCTTTTTTGTTTTAGAGCTTTCAGGAGCGCTGGTAACTTACTAATATGAGAACTCTCCAATTTTTGAAAGCAATTTTGAGATATAGTATAGCTTGCTCACTATATCATAAAGCATTTATATGAGCTATAACCTGTAATTTTACCTCAAATGTCTAAATTAGAATTCCATTTGGAAAATTCTTAGTATAGTTTTAATTTTTAAAACGTCAGCTTATTAATTTTTTCATTATCAGGGACTTGCAGTAATAGCTCAGTGAATAATACCTGAATGAAGTATTTCCCAGGAGTGCTTTCCCTCTTTAGTTTGTCTCTCCCACAGTTATCAGTAATGCAATTTTAAAATATATTTTATCTCCATAAAATACAGGATACTTTTCATACTCCTACCTTGGGTAATTCTATTCTATACAGATAACTCAAAGTGAGTTCCTAGGCTGAGTACAGTGAGACAGACCACAATCCATGTCTGCCAGCATCTGAGAGGTGGGTGGACTGCTGGGACTGAGACGGATGCTCGGCAGAGGGAGGCAGGAAAGGAAGCAGGGGTCTACCTGCAGTTGCAGTGTGAGGAGCCTCTGCTACTGCTTTCCATTGATAGTCTTTCAATCTGCACTTTCAGAATTCACCACACTGGCTTAATTTGCTACACAGTCCCACTGTCTCCCAGGCTGAACTTATGCTTTCTGAAGGCAGGGACTGTAATACTACACATCTTTGAGAAGTCACAGCAAACAAATCACTTATAACAATTTTAGAGTAATTAAAGAAGCATTTCCCAAACTTTGAGGATTATAAACCACTTAAGAAAGAAATGCTTATTTTTCTAGCAGCCCCAATTTCCTAGAACTTGCTTTGACTATATTAAGGTTAACATAAACTTACTTCAGAGTACAAACTCTTAGCATGTAAATACACTTATACATAGTCTACAATGGAAAGTCTCTCTTCATGACTCCAAGTGGGTCCATCCATTATAGCTCTGGACAAATAGCTTTTCCCTATACTAAACATTACAGAGCCTGCAAATTTTATGGGGGTTTTGAATTAAGGCTTACTATTCAATGTGTGTGAAATATGTATATGTGTATAAAAACATATTTTAAGACTTACTTCACTTTAAAGCATGTGTGACTTTGTGTGTCTATATGTTGGAATATGTACTTCTGAGTGAAGGAACCTATGAAATACAGAACAGGGGCTGGATCCCTGAGAGCTGGCGTTACTGGGGTTGTAAGTTGCCTCTCCTGGGTATTAGAAACTGAGCTCAGGTTCTTTGCAAGAGCAGTATTCACTCTCAAGTACTAAGCCATCTCTCCAACCTCCAAGATTTCTACTTTTAAATATTATATGTACATTGTTTGTTTTGGTTTTCCTATATTTCATATCCTAACAGATTTGTATAATTAAGAACACTTGCTTATCCACATGTAAAGCTTATTTGAACATGAGACAAATACTATAATTTTTCTAAAATATTTTAGTTAATTCTTTAAGAACGGTATACAATGTATTTTGATCCTATTCATCAAAACTCCTCACCTAGCTCTTTCTACATACACCCTAGAATTACAGAATTTTCAGATAGAAACCAAATGCCTCAATTTTCTGCAGGTTGAAAAAATTAAAGCTTGAAGAAATTGCTCAAGACTCTCCAGTCATCTGGGAAGGGGGCTACATTTGAGCAGCAGTTCACCTGTCTGTGGATGAGGATGGCTTTCATAAACACTAACTTTTTAATGAAAAATAATCAGCGGTCAATTTACAACTAATTACATTTTTATTTTGTTGCACATACACACACACACATACACACACACACACACATGCACACACACATGTTTTTATATATATATGTGAACTTTGTATGAAGGACCTGACCTAAAATAAAGTCAGCACACTACTGAGCAAAGCAGAATCAGGTACAGCCACATTGCCTGCATCATGAAAGTGTTCTGTAGTATTTATCTTATTGGCTGACAGGCATTTCTTCTCAAATTGATTTAAGATAATATAATACTGAAACTAGACACTCAATTAATATGCTTTTGAGACAACTGAAAAGTTTCTTCCCATAAACTCGGCAGAAAAATGGTAAGGCATGATGGACAAACAAGGTCCCTTCTTTTCTAGTCACTGAAGCTAACCTCTAGAGTCCAGAAAGAATAAGTCTACTGGGTATACATGGCACACAGTCCATTAGTAACAGTGACTGCTGTTGGTGTCATAAACTCCGCTGCACATCAGCAACCTTAGAAATGTAAAGCCTCTAATACACAGGACAGCATAGTTACTACTGTGGTTTAAAATAACAACTCCAAGTATTTTCAAATTTTGCACACAAGCATGCTTATAATGTAAATGCCAAATTTATACAGTACCTTACTCTTTCAAGAGTGTACACAAGATTTCTAAATCCAAGCATCTCCTCACGAAGATATATAATTTATACACAGATTAACATAACTTCTATAATGATGAATCCTAAATCCTTTCATAGCAGAAAAATGATAGGGTCCCCACATTTCAAAGTAAACTGTGTTGATCTCTTCAGGCAGCTAAACCTCTTTGTGTCTTCATCAGAGATGAGGATTTTGTGATTTTTTTCAGTTCTTTATTAAATGATTAGGTAGTATGTAGACTACTGTAAAAAGTAGTGAAGGACAGGAAAGGTCAGCTTTCAATACAAAGATTATTATTTCTCATGGATATTCTAACTTTAATATCCTTTGAAAACCTTGTTCAAGTACATTTAAAATATTAGTCTAAAATTTCAACTGTACAATTAATTTCAATTCAATGATTAATGTAAGTTTTTAAAGTAAGCTTTATGTATTTTCTCTTAACTTGATAACTTGAAGGACTGAGATATCACTTCAGGTTGTAGCCTTTTTTACCCACAAAAGGCATACTGTTTTGGCTTTTTATAAAATTTAAAAAAAAATTAAAAATAAAATTACCCAGAAGTCATGGTTCCTTTATTCAACTGAAAAACTCATATTTCATATTGTAGTGTTTAAGTCTTCTGGCTTTCAAGTTTTAAATGATCTCTTTAACAGGATATAAGTTCAAGGTAATTAATGTTAAAGTTACCAAATCTGAACTTCCACATCATTTCTATGACTTAAGAAGAGATGCTAGGATAGATTTGGTTAGGAGTGAAAACCCAGCATTAGATCACTGTGTGTGTTATTTCTGAATAGAAATAAGTATACTCATAAAATTAGCATTGAACTCTTAAAAAAGTTTTCAGTGCAAGATAGCTGCTCACCCGTCTGAGGGAGTCCAAACTGATGTATAATCTCATCAGTGGTCAGCACGAAAGACTGCTTCACCCTTGGCTTCTTTGCAGGGCCTGGTGGTGGTGAAGTCATTGAGAGGTTTTTGTTGACCTGTAATAGAAAAGACAAATCAGAAAGTACCTCAGACTTCCTGAGTTACTAACACAAGAACTAGATGAGAACTATTTGTTGACTATCAAACCAGGACATGTCAAGGGGAATGACAGGGATTTAGGCAGTTAGATTTTATGGGTGGAAAACAGGACACGTTTTTTTTTATTAAAGATACAATGGCTTTCAAAGTAATTTACCTTTCTAAACTACTTATTTTTGGAATTAATACTCTGCCATGAATTAAAAAACAGAGGTCTTAAGATTCAAAGAAATGTAAATACATAAGTGATTCCTTGATTGCTTTCCATTAAGAAAGTCAAATGTCTCCTACCCACACTTCCCTTGTATCTTAGTAAGATAGCAGCAAAGTCAATATACAGATGAAAACACTTGTGCTACTCATGTATCATGATGATAAATGTAACACATGACAATCTTACTTGCCATGAGAAAGTTTCCATGGCATAAAAAATCTTTTTCTTAAAGACTAATCACAGATTGACTATTTAAAAATGATAAACATAAGCAAAATTTCTGTAAGTAAATATAATATTCTGCAACATGTAAAACATACCATGAGTGATTTGAGCATAAAAGTTCCAAGAAGTAAAATGTATAATAGGTGCATTTTCATTAGAAATAGTTCACTAAAACAGTTAAAAAATTTATTAGTAAATTTATCTTAGAAATTGGAATTAATTTTAGGAAAAAACTAGTTTTGTTCATTATGAATAATTCATTCAATCTTTTTCTTTTTTTAAGAATCATAAAATATGACCTTTTTTATTCTTACAGATTGAGATAGCCTGACTTTAAAAATTCACTGCAAATAGTCCTTCAATTAACAAAATGAAAAGATAACATATTATAAATATTAGTATATGAAAATGTTATTCCTTTTAGTTTCCTTTCTTTACTTTGCTTTAAATAATCAAAACCACACAGAACTTCACTAGGCGTCCCAGTACATCAACGTTTAAAACGTCTGTGTTCTGTCCGGGATCTGTAGCCATATGCTCTTCATCTGTCTCATTAGTTACATATTTATAAACGCTTCTGGTTTTCAAAGGATGATTATGTATCTTAGCTTCACTTCTTTTCTTACAGAAAAGAGCTTTAGCAGATTTGGAGAAAAGGTAATTAAGACCATACAGTTCTAAAATACCAATTATTATTCTATCTCATAAAACAAAAAAAAAAACCATACCTTTTCTTTGTGGGTATAATTATGGGAATCAAATCTGGACTCTACACATGCTAGGCAAGTGCCTACCCCACAGCTATATTCTCAGCCAAAAAAATTGTTCAAAATAATTAGAAGGAGTTAAAACCACATCAGTGTTAACTTATTACCAAACCTGAAAAATTCTCAGGATCCATTATTAAGCTCTGGCCAAAATTAATATACTATAACTATATGTTACTAAAATAACAAAGAAAACCGTTGAGCTTCATTATTCATCTATAACTGGGAATCTCAATAAAAGTCCTGTCTATGCTTTATCAAGAATGTGTCATAAAGATGATATGAAGTTATAATATTCTACTTACATGCTAACTATCAAGAACTGAACAATGTAGTAAAGATATTAAACAGTGCTGGTGGTATTGTTCAATGACAGGGTTTTTGTCTATATTATAAAATTACACAAATACTTCTGTTTGTAAAAATAAACTATAAAGTGTGATACCGATGTAGGTATTAGCATGATCTATCAGAAAATCAGGTAGATGATGCAGTAAGTAATTCTCTGCTCTTAGCAGAAATTGTAATACAAAAGACACACTTACCACTTGGCTATTACCCTCTTGTTAGAGCCTTTGTCAGTTTTGCTTTTGTATTCTTGAAAATTATTTTCAAACAGGTTAAACAGTGTATTTAAAGTGTGATGTAAATGAACAGGTGAATACTAGGGATGTAATTACATGATTCTACGCCTTTATCTATGCCATGGTTATGGGTATACCCATCTTTCATATCTTCTTCTTTAAAGCTTTATCTATGCTAAAACAAAAGCAAGTAGCAGACAGTTACAATAGGATGCTTGAATGCCTCTGTTCAAACATAAGACTCAATACTCTTCTCAAGATAAGTTAACGTTGTATGTAGGGAGGAGACCAATGCGTCCATGTTTTCCCTAAGCAACTGTTATGACTCTGATCTTTCCCGACATCTTTTTTGGATACTATTCAAATGTTGATGAGGTCAGGAGTAGCAACAGTACAGAGTAGGTAACAAACCTCTTACAATTTGACATAACAGTTATTATTAGTGGGAACTGGAAATTAGAAGTCAAAAGATTTTCAAAATGATCTGACATATAGTAAGAATTTCATTTAGAGGAAGAAAAATAATAATAACCATTAAATAGAGTGGAGCAACGTGTGTTTTTGAAATATATGCTGTGGAAAAGGATTGCCTAATAACTTCACAACAACAGAACGGTTGGCTAAGACAGTCTGCCCCATACCAATCTACCCTCTTTTCACAACACGTTTTTCTGCTTGCTTCATGCAAAAAACCACAGCTTGCTAAGGTCAGTTTAATACTTCCATACTGGAGAAACCTAAAAGCACAGAAAGTTGAATGAAATTTATAATAAGGAAAAAGAAAAACTACCAAGAACTTCTGCCAAGTTAGTTACAAAACTGCTTTTCCTGTTCTTTCTGGCTGTAAGCAGTAGCATGCAGAAATGCAAGCACTAATTTCCCAAACTGGGTTAATTTTCTTGTTAAAACTCTTACTGCCCCAAACATAAAACTGAATGTGAAAGATTAAACAAGCTAATAATTAATTTCTCCTTTAGTAATTAAAATGAAAAACCTCTGGGGGAGAGGTCACATTCACTTTCATTCATATTTACAAGTCTAACCCTGGCAGCCGATTGTAGATCAGACGGTACTCTCACCAGAACTACAAGTTTACGACTTTTCAACTTTTGGTGATTTCCTGTTAAAAAGTTCAAACTCCTGACTTTCCCAGACAGCCGTCATTTTTCTACATCAGGACATTCAGTCTGAGAATACCCACGTTGCTCTGGTTTGGAGAGTGAAATATGTAGAATGAGTAGTTTATAGTATTTGATCTAAGGACCTGGATGTTTTCTATATAAGTCAGGACAGAGAGGCGAGAAATAGCAGTATTAACGTAGTGAAAGGTTTTACAATTAGGAAAGTGTCCGGGGTCCTTCTTCCAGAAACTCTCGACCATTGAATACCTTATTAAATCAAGAATTCAAATGCGAAGCTGTCATAGAAAAGCATTTATTTATTTTATCTTTTATTTTTTAAAAAATACAGCACTTAATCAGGACTGTTTGAGCCTATAGCAGATACTAAGGATTTGTGGTTCATAGATTTCTGATGTGATTCTCCTACATGAAGTTCAAAATTAAAATTAGTCCGGCTCAAAGCAATACTACAGCAATCTGCCTCCAGGTGTACCTCTAGGCCCCCTGGCCTTCTCTAAGCCTTCATCTCCTGTCTGTCTTGGCAGTCTGTCCTTCTGCATAGGGGACCCTTTATGTTGGCCCAAATCCTTACCTCTAACCCTCTGAACCTCCCCTACCCTCTTCTCTTTCAGTGCCACAAAAGGTGGTTCTGCTCAAGTGAACACTTCAGGTTCTCACAGGAGTCACGAAGGTTCTTCCAAATTCTATGTAGAAACTCTCTATAGAGAACCCTCTACTTAGTACAAAATATCAGTAAACCAAAAATAGTTCTCCCTTAAGCTTCACTGAAAGATAAGCTCTTTGAAAAACAACATAGAATGCAACACCTCAGCTTTTTTCATCTGAGCTTGTCTCCACCTGAATGAGCAGCTGAGTCCAGCCCATTGCTCAGGCCCCTGCTGCTACACATCACTCCCACACCAACTTCCTCCTATTTTTTTTTTTTCTGCCGTTCTTGGCACCTGCCATTCCTCACAGTGTTTTTCACTGGATGTACCTGTATCCTCCTCCCTTGGATTCACCTCACCTCCCAGGGTGCTCTGGCAGGACTGTTTATGCCATCCCCTCCTGTGCTCTCTAAGTCCCTGTTTCTTAAATCTACAAGCCTCTGTCTCCTGGTCATTAAGTACAGAGGTGACTCAGTCTTTCCCATGGAAGCACAGGGACCAGGCCAGAATGTTTGACTCAGCCTAGACTGCCCAGACCCGTACATGGGGCCCACCAATTACCATAGTAGGTCTTCCACCCAAGCCAGCCTTCCACATATCTTTAGATCAATAAGGATTAATTGATTCTTATCTAGTTCCCCAAGTCAGGAAGAAATTGTATTTTAAAAATATTTTTTAAACCTTTGCAAACAACTGAAATCAATTCTTGAAATACTATTCTGCTCAAATCAATCTTGTCTTCTTAATAATGAATATATACAAATAGATATATACATACACATTATTTTTAAATGTTTTTAGACAGGTCTTGATAGATTCCAGGCCTTGACACTGTTGTTCAGGTGAAGCTGGCTTTAAATTCCTGATCCTTATTGCCTCTACATCTTGTGTGTAGTATCAAGCTCCGCGTATACATGTGTACATTATACACACATATATGCACAGATATAATAAAATTTTAAAAGGTTATATTCACTGAATATTTTATTATTTAAATATTTTTAAAAGATGGTTTTGGTAAACAGTACATTTCAAGATAATTCTGACTAAAATATACATCACTACTTTATAGCACTCTGTGTGTGTGTTTGTGTGCATGTACATGTCCATGTGGGTGAGTATACATGCATGTGCAACAGTTTATGTGTATGATGGAGACCAAAGGTACACATCAGGCATCTACCTCAGTTGATCTGCACAGTAGTTTCTGAGCTGGGACTCCTGAGCAGTGAGCTCCAGGTCCCCTAGCTGCCTCTGCCTTGCTAATGTCTAGCATTTTGTAAGTGTTGTGCATCGTAACTCATGCCATCAGCCTTTTATGACAGGCATTTTACTGACTCAGTTTCCTCTCTAGCACTTTTAATTTTTTTCCATATTGTTGTATTAGCCACAATCTATGGCCACATCATTCTTAACATGCCCAATCTCATCACATATGAAACAGAAAAAATAAATTAAACTCAACTGTATTTTAATTTTTATTACTCTAAGCCAAGAGTTGATACTATGTTTGAAAAGGTGAGGTTGCCTGGCTTCAAGAAGCTTACACAGGGATATGAAGAGATACATATGCAAGACCCAGAAGTGAAAAAACTCAATGTTTATGTTGCTATGATTTATAGGTTAGTAAAGGAAGGAGAGAGAGGTGAGAAGATTCTTTTGAAGTAACTGATTATCTAGTGCTATAATTGGACAGCCAGAATTAATGAACCATTCAGAATAGCAAACAGAGATACTCTAATGTCCATCAAATGCTCCCACCAATTTAGTCCCCAGCAAGACACTCATTGTAGACTGGCATTTCCTGTTCCATTCTCACCTCACTCCTAATGAGTTTTGTACCCATGTAAGGAGAGTAACATGAGGCCATTCATTATCTTGCCAAATTCAAAGGTCAGCTGTTCTCTCTTTACCAATTCTGTCCACAGCAATGCCAGCTAAAAGACTCCTCTTTTTGAAATGCTCTTCTTTAAAATCCCCTTGCCTTGCGTTCTCAGGTACCACCTCAGTTTGCTGTCTCCACTGGAGCCCTATCCAGTTTTATGGCTCTTTTAAAAAGCACTTTGGCCCTGAACACAAGGCTCACACAGTCACTGTCTACTTCAGTTTCCTCGTGCCCCCAAATCTACTTCTCACACCTGCTCCCTCCATCCCAGCATCCCTCATCCCATGAGAAACCAGGAGCTGCAGCTACACAGCTGCTGAAAGCCCAAACCCAGAGGAGCTCCTCATTTCTTCAACCACACTGGATATACCGAAGGCCCATCTCCAAAATATATGCAAAATCAACAAACTAAACGCTCTCTTCAGTCTGTTTACTACTTGCAACTTCATGCTGTTCGTATGGGTCTACCCAGCATTTCTTCTAGGACCAGTGGACCTGTCTGCTGATCATTGTGCTTGTAAGACCTTACTCTGCTAAAAGTTAAGTCTCCTATTCAATCTGGACTGTTTCTCTATGACAACATACTTAGTCCCTGTTGTGCTGACAAAATTCTTTAAAAAGCATGCACAATCACTCCTTGACACCTTTCTAGTACTGTCCTAAAACCTTACTTGCCTTTGATCATTACTATCCTGTTAAGCAAAATAATGTTTCTGATTCTTGAACAGTCTTATTCCTAGTTTAGTGCTTTGGGTCTTTATGAAATGTTTCTCTGGGAAATCTCCCATGATCCTCCTCTGCACAACAGCCTCTCCTGCTCTACTCATTCTCCATCCTAAAAGCTTGTTTTGTTCTCTATCAGCTATTATCTGAAATTCTTTCATCCAGTATGCCTTCCCATATAATAACATGCTTTTGTGAATGTTCTATCCCAAGCATTTTGAAAAATATTGGTAGCCACTAAAATATTTGTATAAAGATCTCAAAAAACAATCTGAACCTTCGAAAATGTGATCATCAGGTTGAGATTTTGAAAAGAAAGAGATCCTTATTTTTGTTAAGCACTTATCAAAAACTTACTATTCAGGAGGTAGTGTACGAGAGGCTATGCAAGAACACTTTGCTGATGTGTCAATGACTAGTGACAAGGTGAACAAGAGACCAGCCATGGGGCAGGAGCAGAGGTGCCTGGACCACTGAGCAACTAGATGCAACTGAGCTCTCAGATCATGTTATATTTAAAAAAATAAGTCAAAAAATGACTATAGCTAAAACCACCAAAACTATAAAAATCCCAGGAAGAAAACAAAGGAGTAAATATATAAGACAGAGGGATAGTCAATGTGACTTTGTATAGGATACAAAACAGATGGACAAGGAGACAGTAGGCAGGGAGAGACTAGAACCCTCACACCTTTCTTGTCGGGTTCTAAAGTGGTTTATCCATTTTGGAAATGAGTTTGAGAATTTCTCAAAGTATTAAAAATAGTTACTATGTGATCCAAAACATTTCCCACTAACACAAAAATCCCCGAGAATAGCAACACTAGTTACACCAATACTGTTCGTACCAACACATGGTCATAACAGCATTAGTCTTGAAGCTAAGGGTAGAATGCTGGTGGACAGGTAGGAAACTGCAACATAGGTGCATTTGACTAAGGAGTCCATGGATGCACAGTCTCCATGGGCAATCGTGAGACTTACAGAAAGACGCTAGTCATGACAGGCCACATACTAAAGCTAGGTGTGGTGGCTCATGCCTATGATCCACGGACATGGGAGACTGGGATATGAGGATCACAGTGAGTTTGAGGCCAACCCAGGCTACTCAGGGAACATGAAGGCAGCCTAGTATAAAAATAAACTCCTGTATAAAAATAAAATGAAAACTCCAATTCCTAAACCCAAAGATAGCATATTATATGACTCCATTTAAATAAAATTTCCACATGCAAAAAAATCTATGGCAAACACACAAACAGTTACAGTGAGTCTGCACGAATACATGTTATGTGTATAAATTAGCAAGGGCTGTTAATAGACACTGGTTTTCTATGTGGGAAAGTTGTATAATGCTAAATATAATTAAAAACAGTGAACTATAGACTTTATTTTGAGATTTATTATTATGCATGGTTTTTGCCTTATCGTGTATGATGTATATAGGCATGTGTGTATCATAGTGTGCATGTGAAGGCCCGAGGACAGCCTGTTAAGAGTTAGTTCTTTACAAGTGTCCTGTGGACCAAACTCAGGCTTTTGTAGCTGTGCCTTCATTCACTGAGCTATCTTGCTTACTGTATCTCGTTATGCTGTGTTGCTTGATATCCCTGAGAGGCCAACTCTTTGCTGAAGGGAAATGGAGGAGGGGTGGATCTGAGGAGGAGGGAAGGTCAATGTGGTGAGGGGCTGGGAGGAGTGGAGGGAGGGGAAACTGCCATCAGGATGCATTGAATAAGAGAATAAATTTTAAAAAGGGCATTATGGTGTATGAATTATATCTCAATGAAAAGCTATTTAAAATAGTATAAAAAGGCATTAATAATGTTAATCTTTCCTAATTTTAATTTTCAAATATGTAATTATAGTTTCGATGAGGGTTCATTCTACATGTGTTAAGTGCTGAGGATACAAAGATGAAAGATGCTACCTACATACTACCCTCAGGGAGTTTTCAGGTTAATAGGGCATTCTCTCTAATGACTGGTTAAATGTCTATAGAGTAGCTAACTCAACTGACATTGAAACAGCATTAGTAGAGAAGGGTACTGCACCATTAGGGATGGGGAGAAGGAGACGGAAAGAGTGGGAGAAAGAGAGGTCAGAGCTAGTGAGAAAACTGCTCTCAGCCTTATATATATTACACACTTGGGGGGATTTGGTAATCTTGGAGCTATAATCACTACAACAGTCACTGCTATCAGGAACAAGCTTCCTGAACATCTGCAGCCAAGTCAGAACATAGCTTGTTCTCTTTTCCCCTCCCCGTCTTCCTTCCCCTTGTCTATAATCAATATCCGGTTGACTTGTGATAATTAGGTAAAATGTGATAGGTCCTGAAGATACTGAATAGCTCAGTGCTGGGGTAAGCCTGGTACTTTCTGGCATGCCTGTCTCACTCCACGGTTCCGCGTACAGCTGCAGATGTCTACTCAACTGTAGTGATGCTGTATGAAGGCATCTTCCAACCATCCTAATTCTTTATCTTCTGGATGTCTCATCTTTTACTATGCGGCATATAATTTTATTTGGTAAATGACAAAATGTTAGAAGAGGAGGGAAGGATGTAAGGAGTCACTGTGCACTGTGACTCCTTATGCCTGTTGTGTGCTGGACCTGCACTGAAATTACATCCCAATCGCTAGGGCTTTATTCTGGGGCCTGGTGTTAAAATTCTGGCAAAGGAAAGCTCAACAAGAAAAGCACACATCAGGGAACTTTTATAGGAGCTAGCACCTCCATAATGGTGCAATCCATTTTTTTATATCACAATAGAAACTTAATTTTAAGTTTGTCTTCCTGGTAATAACAACTACTTACTTTTGCAGCACAGGATCGTATCACCTCCTAAAAGAAATACAGTACAATAAACAAGTATTCATAATTTTCTTTAAAAAAAAGTATTGCTCTTTCTCAAACATTCAGATGTCAATCTTCTAATGACCCAAACTAGCATTTGAGAGTTTGTCACCCTGTATTGCCAGTCTGCACTGTTTCCACTGAGCTGCAAATAGGATAAATTCGAGAGACTTAATTTCATTTTGTAGTAAGACCAGCTTGCTAATTCCCAAACTTCCTAGGGCCCAGTTTTGGTTGTCTCAAGGGAGATTTGTCTCCTCAATAAGCCTGGCATACATATCAAAATCCTGTCCTACAACAGAAATAGACCCAAAAAGATAAGCTCTCAGTTTGCTAGAGTAGAAAGTTGTTACTATGACTGGCATCAATACCTATAATGTGGAAACATTAACAATTTGTATCTAATAAAAAGCTCATAAATACCATAGATAAGCAGAAACAAACTGCTTATAAATCATGGGATAAGGCCACAATGATCACTTTTAAAAAGAAAAGTAGTAGAAACCAATGAATAATGGGCAAGTTGAAAATTTGCTATTATGGAGACAACAAAAATATTTAACTGTGGTTAGAATTAACTAGTATTTATCATCAGCCTGGTATACTAAAAAACCAATAACCAACCTCAAGTCTAGAACAAACAAGTGAACAAGCAAACCAGAGTAAACAAAGAGCACTGGGGTTTTCTTGTAAAAATTTAAGATTAGGCACTGTTTAATGGAACTGGTAACTCAGTTTCTAAAAAGAGAACTGGGAATCCTGCTAGCCAGGGTGAATCTCAGATCCAACCCTTGTAATCTGTTGGATTCTACCTCTTCCCTATAGACTTCAAGTTCCACTCTGGAAAATGAGGGTACTAATACTCTATTGTCCTAAAGTATTATAGGTACTTACAAAAGTGCCAGAAATACATTATAATGAGAATTATTAACAATGAAACATATTGCTTATTATTAATCTCTATAAGATGAATTGCCTATGCAATGGAACACATTAACTTTTCTGAAAATGGACATAAATAATTCTTAAAGTCATTCTATTCTTGCTTCTATGGTTCTAGCTGGCAAGCACCCTGTGACAACTAAGCTGGGCTCAGGCTAATGTGAAAACTGGGGCAGTCTTGAGTGGTCCAGCTGTTGAAGAGCTAGGTCTCTGGTCATCAGAAGACATATTCTCATAGATTCAGTTTTATAAATCAAATACTTGTTGGACTAGTTACTCCTGACAGGTACCCAAGATTCTAAGCAACTGTGAATGTAGTCATGAGGGAAAATCTCTGAATCTAAAAATTGAGAAGGAGTTGTGTCCTTGGTAGGGTTTACTGAGGGACCAGTCAGGTCTGCAGACCATGAAACAATGATTTATATTATGACTGGATCACAATGCTTTAAGGACCAGATTATCACCTATGTTTACGTCCTTTCCTAATGAATAAACAACCATAAAGTGCCTGATGAGATTAATTTATTATGTAATTTAAATATATACAAACTACACGTTAAACATGAGTTCTATCAGAAAATATTCCTAGTTCAGTAACAAAAGGCTATGCTGAGTGCTTTATGTTCTATCGCTAGAGGACCTCATAAAGAAAATGGGTTTCTAAAATATAATTACAAGAAACAAGGGAAAAAATATTGTGACAAAAGGTGAGATAAGAATATTTTGTTCCTATGTTACTTTATATGACTGATAAAAAATACATCATGCATAACATGAAAAAAGTTTAGTAAAATCTCTTTACATGGGCATAATAATGTGTTTTTTGTTTTGTTTTTAAACCACAGACATTGGACAAAGATTTATTTCCAAAGGCAACTTTGATATCAATCCAAGGCATATATATTCTCTAATTTAAAATGAAAATCCATTAAAAGCTGAATAAGTAGGGAAATATAAATTCTCTTTCATAAAAATTATTAATTTATTTCTTCTGTCTTTGATTTAATTTCTTAAAAATATCTTTTGACATTATTTTTCTTTTACATTTAATTTTGTTTTATTTTCACTTATCTGACGATATAAAGTAATATCAAAAGACATGTCATAAAAGCTCTGTGTTTAGGGGTATCAACTGTCATCTGAAGAGTGAGTGGAGGAAAGGGTCAGTGCCCAGGATGCAGTAGTTCTGGTGTCTACAGAAAACCTTGTTACATGGAATACGGGACAGGAGTCCTTTGTCTTCTTCCACTGCAGATGCATTTTTCTCTAATTTTTAAAAAGCAACATATCTATTACAATTCCTTTTAAAATGTGGAACACATCTGACTGCTTATATTAAAAGCACTAAAATGTATAAGAACTAAAACACTGAAACAAATATAAAGTCATATAGTCTTCATTCTAATTGAGTAAAATTTAAAAAAAAATACACAAACCTCTACTTTGCAACTAAATCTAACCCCAGTAAGGAGCGTGCTTCATACCCTAGCATAGCCTCTGAGGCAGGAAAGGTGAGCAGGGAGGCACATGCAGGACCAGGGCTGCGGGGTCAGTCCTGGCAGTCAAGGTTTGTGTCAGGGAAGAGCAGGGAGCACTGCCAGGCTCAGTGCAGACTGAGGAGAACAGCAACAACCTATGAGCAAGGCTGTGGAGTCCCACTCCTCCAGGAGCACCGGGCAAAGGCTATCTAAATGGCTATGGTCAGGGAAGATACATATTTTTAGAATGGTTAAGCTTCTTAGCCCACACTAACATTTCTTTTGGAAAAAAAGAGAGTCTACTGATGTATACTAGAGGTACAGCACATGAACAAAGCCCCTCACTGTTTTCCAGTTGATATCTAGCTTCGTTGGCACTTAGTGGTAAGAAAGAAATCCTAAGTCACAAGCTCTTTTTTTTTCTTTCTTTTTTTTGGTTTTTCGAGACAGGGTTTCTCTGTGGAACCCTAGCTGTCCTGGAACTCCCTCTGTAGACCAGGCTGGCCTCAAACTCAGAAATCCGCCTGCCTCCGCCTCCCAAGTGCTGGGATTAAAGGCGTGCGCCACCACCGCCCGGCCACAAGCTCATTTCTTTGACAAATTTTTTTGAGGCTTTATTATTTTTCTTTAATGGTAACTGTTTTTCTTTATTACAACTTAATGAGACCATTTCTTTAATACAGCTTGTGCTGACATTTTTGCATGTTGGTATTTGCTGCATATGTGTATGCATATCATATTATAGATATACATATACACATTTATATTTATTTAGAAACTTAAAATTTATTACTATTTGAGGAGAAGAATTATTCACTAATTTTATCTGAGCAACTCTTTCATCAACTTACATAAGAGAAATATTTGGCAGCACATAGAGTCCTGGGTTTGGGGGTGAGTGGGGTAGTGTGGACTGAAGCTGGGCTGTGGGCACAGCAGATGAGTGGTCTTTCCTTGAACTTTATGCCCATTTCTGTAGTTATTAACCACACATTTAACTTCTGGTCAGTGAGATTTTATTTGCATGTGTGACCTAATACATACATTTTCCAGCTAATTTGATATCTGTTTCCTAATATTATAGTTCTTATTTTTCCCTTCTGCTATATCTAGTTTTATGAACTTGCATTACACTATCTATACTATTTCAGCTTTAAGATATATTTAAATATCTGGTAAGATAAGACTGTCCTCATTATCATCTCTATTTTTCCTGGCTCACCTGGAGAAGGCTGAGGGCAGCCGAACTATTTCTCAGTAGATAGCTACCATTTTTATCTCAGATATCCTATGAGAAATTTATATTTAGGATTTCATGAGTTCCCACTTTTAGAAATGAGCAAAATTAGGCTTCCTTAACGTACTCGAGAGTCACAAGGCAGGCAGAGGTTAGAACCCATGTGCCTGTGCCTGTGCCTGTGCCTAAGCTCTCGGCCAAGAGCTCCTTACAATGCATTCTCACTTCACATGCATTCTTAAACATGCTGATGAGTTAGTGCTCCAGCTTGTTAATTGGAGACTTTAAGTATCAACTTTCCATATTACCATTTGCAATGCAGAGTTTTAAAATTTGTCTTTGTGTTTTTTTTATTTTTAACTTAGCCAGGAAGTCTTCCTTTTTAAATAAAATTCTCAGACTACCTTTTGATTTCATTAATAAAAATAAAAATTCTGATATTCTATTTCACAAAATAATTCTATTTCACAAAACTTTTCTGAGACAGGGTCTTCACTGAAGCTGGAGTTCACTGACTGGCTAAGCCAGGTGGTCAGTGATCTCTAGGGATCCTTTGGCCTCTACTTACTCAGTGCTGGGATTATAAACACATACCATATGGCAGCTTTCCTGTGCATGTTGAAGAACTGAGCTTACATCCTCAGGACTGTGCAGTAAGCACTTTAGCCACTGAGTCCTGTAATTCACAACATCTACTTAATGGCGCTCTTGCTTTAAATGAGGTTATCATTTCTCCATGAATGCCAGTCCAGTTTAATGTCTGACTTCGGTTTGTCCAGCAGGTTTTATGCAGCTCTGTATTTGAGTTCTATTTAGAATACCAGCAGTGGTTAGGTAGGCACTAATGGACTGGGGAGATCTTTTGAGGAAACAGAATATGGTGTTAAAGGGATAAAGGAGAAATCATAAAAGGGGAGTTAGGTAGGGTGGGGAATGGGAGGGGAAGGTGGAGGAGGCAATATGGAGAGGGATAACTAATGCTAAGGTCTTTTTAAAAAGCCATAAATAATTCTAAAATGTGTACATATATATCAACGGACTTTAAATGAGGTTGCCATAAAATGTGGAGAACAATACCCCAACCGTTATCGTAATCTTGAAAATCATGAAACCTGTCTTTTGAACATAAATAGCTGCTTTGTTTATAAAACAAGGATACCAGCTACTCTAGTGCCAATGTTGTATACCTGCTACAATCAACGAGTCAATGTGAGCAGTTTATAAGTAGAGAACGACTGCCTTATACAGTGTGTGTGTGCGCGTGCGCGCATGTGTGATGGTTTATCACTTGTGGTTGTCCAGCACTTCCTACAAAGTAAGCATACACGAGTAGAGGACAAGGGTATTGGCAGGCAGAAGCCATTAGTACATTATTAATACTTGGTGGCAATAGTGTAATACCAATCAGAGAATAGGAAGGTAAAGAGTAATGTCAAAATGGGGAAACTGGAAGGAAAATTAGGGTATTGATTTATCCTTTAAAAAGGAATACAGAAAAGAATGGACAGAAACAAAATAATAAACAGATTCTCTATAGAAGAGAAATTCAGCTATTCAAATCTTCCCTTGATCGTCCACTTCTGTTGAATTGTGAAAATCAGGCAAGCAGGTCCAGGGTATAAATATGATAAAAATAATCAGAACTGCCCTCAAGAAGCTGGTAGAAGAAGCTGGTGGTATGGATGTGAGAACAAAATGCCAATGTGTGACGTTCTATGTGCTAGGGACTGAGCCAGGCTAGCTGTCCTAAACAGAGTGTCCTGACCAGTGTGTGACATTCTATGTGCTATAGACTGACTGAGTCAGGCTAGCTGTCCTAAACAGAGTGCCCTGACCAGTACCTGGAAATATGCCAGAAATGAAAACTCACAGAGTAAGCCAGATATATGGAATCAAAATCTGTAGGAACAGAGCCTGGCAGTCAGTGACATGAGAAAGTTGGCTAGGTGACTCTGATGCATACAGAAGCTCAAGAAACACTCAGACTTATGCTTTGAGAAAGACTTTCCAAGACCTGATCTTTTAAGTAGCAGTCTCTGGAAATGCTGGCAGTGAGAACAAGACTCTAGATAAGTGTCAGCTATACCTGCAGGCAGCCTGCCCTTGACGATGGAACATGGTTTCTCGTCCTGTTCATGTGACAATTGTTAGGCAGGATTAGTTGGTTCAGAACACTTCATTAGGTCTTGAGCTGGTCTTTAAAGTGTGAGTCCTGATAGCATGATACATTAGTAAAAATTTAGCTTGTATGCGATGAATAATGGCTTCAAAACTAGTACTTGGAAAGAACTATAAAAGAAAAACTCGTTTTAAGAAATTAAGTAACTTCCTTATGTTAATCTTTATTACATGATAATGGTTTTAAATTTTCAACTACTAAAAAATTTAAATAAATGAAATAAACATACTGTGACAGTTTCGAGTCTCTGTTTCACAAGTTGAATCTTTCTTGATGAATTATTTTCGGTGTTGACAAATTCATCAATCTGAAAAGAGCCCTGTTGGGGCAGTTTAGGACAGGTGCATAGAGCATCCTCACTCTGATGTATCCCAGGTAACGGGAGTGTCCCACTATAGCGTTTCAACATTTCGGCTTCCTGCTGGGCTACTAAAAAGAAAAAAGAATCTAAAATTAGTTCAAATAATCACAGCAAAAAGAAAATCAAATTCTAAAGGCATGAAATGATAAGAATAAATAGTCAGAAACTCAACAGTACATTCTCATTGCTAAGTAACAAGAAGGAAACATGACTGAAAAGATGAAAAACTATAGGTGATATGAAATCACAGAAAATTGATAATTCTTCAACAAGTTATTTTATAATAGAGCTTTGTGGGGAATGTAAACTGAGATATAAGCCTAATACATATTTAAATACATACAGATAATATTTCAAATGCTCAATAATGAAACAAAAAGGACAAAAATAATCACAAACCCATGTACCTAAGCCTATTTGTACACTTCTATCTCTTCAAATTCAAATTTTATACATATATCTATTTTGTACAAAACATTAAAATGTAAGTATAATTTAAAAATTTCTCAATTTAAATACAAATTAAATACAAACTTCTATAACTACCCTGTTAAATGTTTTATAACATCTATGAATCATAATTTTAAAACACTTTTCTCTGTCACTAAATATTTACAATGTTTTGTCTTTCTGTTGTAGATGTTATATGAAAAGTACTTTTCGTAGTCAGCTTTGTTTCTTAACATAATTTTTGTTTTGGATTAAATACCTATACAGACACATAGGCTTAATTAAATGGTGTTGATTTTGACAATGGTGGTAACCAATGGTGACCAGTGGTAACCAGTGGCAACCAGTGCTGAGAGCAGCATCTCACTGCTCTTTATTAGTCATAAGATGCTCAAATATATTCTCTCACTTGACTGGATAAAGGAATCTGAAAAAATTAATCCAAAGGAGAAAAATACATAAAGTTATTATTTAAAAACTATGTCCTAATTATACAATATTGAAATGGAGGGCTTTCTAAAAATGACACAAAAAGAAGAAAATGAAAACTGGAATCAATGAACAAGCCATCAAATTCTGTGTACTCTTACAAACAGAAACATGAGGTGAGATGTTTGTGTTTCAGAAAAACAGATTTATTATATTTCATAGACTATCCATTATAGGGCTGTATGAGCTGGAAAAGGTCAAGAATTACCAACATTATTATGAAAAAATAGGATCCATTTTGCTATAGGAACATTTAGATCTTTATTTAAACAAATGAAGTCCTACAATGATATAAATGAAAAAGCAAATGACAGGCAATGACTTTTCATATTTCTGGATAAAAATATAGTAAAAAGAACCAGATTTACTTTCTTGGTCAAAAATCAGCAAATAATGAACAAAATACAGAAAAGGGAAAAAAAGATTTCTTTGCAAGATATTTCTATGTCATGCTAAAGCAGGAGAGAAAAAGGAGGCATCTAGGGAATGAAACTTAAGGTGGCAGTGACTCCAAAGAGCTAACCCTGTATCTCTGTAAAAATACCTGAAGGAAATAAAAACAAACAAACAAACAGGCAGAAAAAATACCTCATAAGCCACTAGAACAACTAACTTCAGTTCGGTTACCATGAGAGGGATATACAACAATTAACGGGTGACTATACAGTTAGATGTCTGGATAATGGTAAAGAGACCAACAGAACAGAGAACCCAGGACATATACAGACAAGGAACGAGATAACCGTGAAGAACACGGATTTCATTAAATGGTGCCAGGACGGTTGGACATTCAGATGAACTTTGATTCATACTTCACGCCCTGTGGTGAGATGCCAATATAAAACACTGAGCTCCGAAAGTTCAGGAATGAAACATACGCAAACAATTCTGGGAGCATGGAGTAAGCAAAAGTTTCTTAGATACAAAACTAAAATCCAGGACAGAGCAAACTGATAATTTCTACTTCAAAAATTTAATGTTCTGTTCTTCAAAGTGTTAAAGTAATTAGAAGACAGGACGAACACTGGGAGGAGTATCTGTCACTCATATGCCTGGGAGCACCTGCATGTAGAACTCTCACATCAAAACAAAGAAAAGAAATCAACTTAAATAACAACAACAACAACAACAACAAGCCGAAAATACAGTCCAATTGTAAACAGGTTCTGAAGAAGCTCTAAAGATGGTGGGCAGGTGCCTAAGAAAGCATCACCAGTAAGAAAGAGATGAACAAATCAGACCAAGGGCAAAGCAGAAAGTCTGTCTGTCAGAATGGCTAAAACAAAAAAGTCTTGCTATGTCAGATTTGCCAAGGGTATGAAGAAGCTTGAACACTTGAGGGGAAAGGCTACTTTAGTTTTTTTGTGAGACAGTCTCTGTAGAGTGTAGGCTAGCTTCAAACTTACTCTTCCTCCCTCAGTCTCTTAAGTAGTAAGATTACACGTGTATTACCATGTCTAGCTTGGCTTAAGAAAATACACTGGCAATATGATCCTGACCTTTCATTTTTATGAATTTATATAAGGGAAATGAAAGCATCTTTAGAATAAAAAACTTGCACATGAAGACTCAGCAACTTTATTTGTAATGTTATAAGCTAGATATCTATCAACAGACAACAGATACACGGGTAAATCTCTTGAATGGAGCAACAGTAGGCAGTTAAAATGATGAGCTGTTGATAGATGCTAAAACATAAGTGAACACCAAAGTAATTTAAGCACGAAAAAATGAAGACATAAAAGAATTCATGGCACATACAGTATCTTTTATTGTAAACCATTCTAAAACAGGGACACTAATTTATAGTACTTTCAAGGAGTGAAAAAGAGGAGGACACAATTAAAATGGGGCACAAAGTGACTGAAGGGTGATGGGAGTGTCCACTGCTGTGACTTGAGGTGATGTTCTTGCAAGTAGGTAAATTATCAAAGCATATATTTAAAGTTCATAGTTTATTGTACATAAATGACCCCAATAAAGCTGTGTATACAAACACACAAAGCAAATGGCAAGGATGACAGAAAAGGCTAACTATTCTTGATATGCAAAGAGGACCCAGGAAATCCATTTAGAAGACCAAAGCAGCAGGAAATCCAGAGCTACTCTAGAAAAGTCACAAAAGAACAGTGTAGCCCGAACAAGAAAAAAAAAAACAACAGTAAAAATGCAAATAAAAACGTGATGCTATTTTTACTGTCTTACAGGTGCACTCAAGACAGGTTTTCCTAACAAACAAAATGGGTAAGATAGGCATGTACTTAATCATATACAATACTTACTTTATAAAAATTCTTTAAATAAATTCTCTCTCTGTGTGTGTGTGTGTGTGTGTGTGTGTGTGTGTGTGAGAGAGAGAGAGAGAGAGAGAGACAGAGACAGAGACAGAGAGACAGAGACAGACAGACAGACAGAGACAGACAGAGAGAGAGACAGAGAGAGACAGAGAGACAGTATCTATGTAACCCTGTTGTTCTGGAAACTTCCTACATAGACCAAGGAGGCCTCAAAGTCACAGAGATCTGCCAGCCTCTTGGATGCTGGGATTAAAAGGCAAGAGACACCACACCAAGCTCTAAAATATTTAATGAGCATTAAAACATTGGGCCTTTTAAAGTAATTAACCATCTACGTGATATAGCACCTGTAAAAATGATAGACTTTTGATATTCACACACTACTTCATCTACATAAACAGAAGAGCCTGCTAATACCCAGCATTCTCTGCAGATCATGCTGGCTGAGATCAGAGGATAGAGCCCTGAGAGAAGCCACAGATGACAGCAACTGTCAATGACAGGCAGTTCTCTGTACCAATTATCCATTTCAATGTCTGTACCAATTATCTATTTCAGTGCAAAAGTTGCCACTCCCTATAGGGTTGGCTTTTTTGTTGCTGTTGGATTTTTTTTTTTTGGTATGTGTGCATTTGACATTAACGTTCTTATATTTAATTTGGACTTATTTCCAGGGTAACAAGAATATTTACTTCACCCTCAATTATTCAAAGATAGCTTTAGAAAATAAGCAAGTGTAGAGCTGTAGAAAAACAATTAAAGGAAAGTGCTCCATGTGTGGGATTGGGAAGGTCTGCCTCTACAGTGGGTGAGTTTCAGGGCTGAGAAGTCAACAGAAAAATCTATTTCATGATTTCTGTATTTTTCATGTTGAAAACTGTGCTACCAACCTTTAGCTGTTTCCTTGCTGCAAATAAACCTGTATCTAAGAGCAGTCTAGTATGCTAACTTCCCAGATTTTCTGAGCTTTTTATTTGTGAACTACAACTCCATCTAACTGAGCGAATGAGCAGCCACAAGGATAGCCAAGAAACACATGGACTGGCATCAGCAATAAGTTAACAGGACTTAACTACTTTTTCTCTTGTAGTTTTGATTAAACTATATTTTTAAAGTATTATAATACATTAAATATGCATTATGTTTTTTTCTTTCAAAGACTTTTTAACTGGCAAAAACAGAAAAAGGCAGTGACTAAATATGTTTTTAAGTTATTAAGTATGTTTCAAAGTATTAAGATATATTTTACAATGTATTGTGAATTATAATTGTGAATTAAAATATTCTAAATGGAGTAAAATAACAAAACCTCAAATCATGGTATTTGTTTCTACGGTGCCATGTCCACATTTATGTAAAAATGTGGACTTCAAGCAGTCAAATCAGCATCCTACTATATTGTCAGTACCTTTAGTTTTGTGAGGAGGACCTTTACAGTCTGCAGACATATTCATAAAGTGTACTAGACTACACTCGAAACAGAAACTGCTGTTTATAAGTTCTTCAGTCTCCCCAACCCCCAACAGTAGATGTGTTTAACACATATGCCTTTCTCACTGTAGAATAGTTGGTGATAGATGACTTTTGGATTATCCTTCAAGCTGTATGATGCTTGTAACCATCTGGAGGTTACCAAGTTATTTTAGGTTTTGGTTAGAGAACATGTTGCAATTAGACAGCCCAATTTCTGCATTATATCATTGTTCTTTTTACCAATGTAATTTGCATGTTTAAAACTTAGGTCTGATCTAACCTGCTATGTTTAAAGCTCACAATTTTAATATTCTTATCCACACACTTTCATCTCTTTTGGAGAAATCCTTACATGCATG